TCTTGGAATCCAAGTTCGAGACAAGCCCCAGAATGCCCAGATTCAAGACAAACTTCGGGCTGAGTACAAATCTCGCTTAAAGAAAATCTGGAGCACAGAGCTAAATGCGTGGTCAAAGCTACCAATACTTTTGCTGTGCCAGTCCATTCCTATTCCTTTGGGGTAGTTGATTGGACAAAACAAGATATCCAGAGTCTTGACCACCTGACCAGAAGGATCATGTCTGATAACAGAGCCCATCACCCTCGTTCCTCTCTCAATCGTTTATATACTGAACAACATTAGAAACGCACAACACTAAAATGCACCGACGATGCTCACATATCATGGGTACATTTCAGTTTGACAGGGATATTTCGTATTATGTGGGTGGTGCGTTTCTAATGCTGTTCAGTATATGTGCCAATCAATTCTGGAGGTTGGGGTTTGATTAATGTGGAGGCTCTTCATGATAGAATTTTATTGTGTACTTTTGCACATATTGATTTATCGGATGATCCTCTGGTGATGCATGTCAAAACCCGTGATGAAAGCTAGGAATTCCACAGCTATTTTAAGCATGCCAAGGTTTTTGAACAGAATCTGAAATTTGAGGTTGATTTTGTTGATGGTGATATACTGCTGGATGGTACAGCGATGGGAGTAATCTAGGTGAAGTTAATCACCAAGTCTGCTCAGAGTCGGTCATTTATGGAGAAGCTTTCTGAGAAGTCATTGCATCATGTGTACATGCAGTGTGTGTGACTCCTTCACCGGGATGAAGTCGGCTGGTCTTAAATGTGAAACTGAGGGCTTCCTTTTTGCTGCTCAGGACCAGTCACTTCCCACTCGCAATCGCCAAAATGTGATTCTTAAAGGTCACATGCAACCAAAAAATCAAACATAATTAAAACACAATTATCACTTATTCATGACATATAATACACATTGCTGGTTACGAAAAAATATATAAAGAAAATTATAAGCGTACAATCGCAAATCGAAAGTGCAAAATTGTGTACTTCGGTTTACTTCCCAAGAAACGAAGCAGCCGGGATACCGAACCCAGTCACAGCGGGTGGGTGTGCACTCAAGTGTAACGGCTGGTTCATTTGCAGATGCCTTCACGGCTAATTGTGTGTATATATAGAGAGAGATGTTGGGTTTTGTAAATACATGCTCATTTTTTGTGTATAACATTTTGCAATCAACAGACATCATAACATGTCATGTGTTCAAGTATCACACCTGCCTGTCTGTGTAATTACATAATGTGACAGAGACCGAACTCGGGCCATAAATCAATGCATTTTGTTTATGGTGTATAGCCTGATTGGTGTTAAGTTCAAATTGCATGTGGTCAGTGATCGCAGCTGTGTATTGAATATTGTCATTAGCAGACAGGCAGGCAGACACTAGTGTCAATAAAACAAGACATTGAGTTTTGTCTGTGACAACGACATATCTATATCACAGTTAGAAATTCTGTCAACGCTAAATAATGACATTGCTTTTAAGTATCGAACTGAGAAAGTGACTCGGTAAGAAGAACGTGTGGTGAAATAGACAAATGAAATTATATAAACAGTTAATTTACTGTCATAACATATAAAAAGCTCACGCCTGTGAGATATCAACAAAACATTAGAAAAATAGCTCACACCAAAGCCTTCACCGAGTATTCATCCGACAACCCGCTTCCAAGCTGCACGAACCTATTTACTTGCGCACGTACTATGAGCGCAGCCCAGCTGTTGAAACCCGTTTTCCCCAGAAAAGTCTGGGGAAAATTAGTGAAACGTTTGAACTCCGATTTCGCGCGTTTTTTTTCATCGCGTTATTTTTCAACTTTATAAGTTGAATTTGCATTTTTGACGATTTGTTTCAGTATGTCCATACCGAAAGGTATCAGAATCTGTAAAGTTGTGTTTACGTTGCATGTGACCTTTAAACAAATATCAATATGAAATGTCGACTTTGCAATGAATTTACAGAGACTGTGCCCTTCCTTGGCACAAGCAGCATATCTTAAAAGACATGATGGCATGGCTTGTTGCTTCTACTATCGCCTTTGTTATGCCTGTGGCTTTGACTCTAAGGTCCATCCATGGTACGACCCTGAACATGTCCAGGGCCTCATAGAGAATGATACTTTCAAACTTTTGTGGAATAGGCCAATATAGAGCCTCAGAAGAATTCCAGCCAACAAACCTGATCTTGTCCTTTTTGATAAAGCCAATGAATTTATTTATGCTATTGAATTTTCTGTCCCTTTTGACAGCAACGTGATTCGCAAGATTCAGGAAAAGTATGCTAAATATGCGGACCTTGCCTTTGAAATGTCTCACTTGCATCCCAAGTACACTGTCGTCAGGCTCCCCATTGTTCTCGGTGCCCTTGGTTTGGTACCTCCTGATCTCTTGGCGCAGATCAGGAGAGTGCCCAGGTTCTACACCGGGAGCACAGCCATTCTGACTCTCTGGCAAATGCAGAAGGCTGCAGTGCTGGGGAACCTTCATATTCTCCAGAAAGTTTTTTATGGTTTGGACTAGGGAGCGTTTCCTGGGAGAAGTCCCATTCACTGTCTTGGCTGTGTGTAGAGGGGGCAAGGGTGCTTTGTTGTGGGGCAGGAGTGAAGTCCTAGAAACTCTCAGGAGTCAAGCTGCCAAACACAGTCACCCATCCAAGGATTCTCCAAGCTCGATGTTGCTTAACTTCAACTGATTTGTGACCTGAGCTCTACGCACAGCCCCACACACCGCCACCAAAATAGTACCTCTTTTGCCCACAATAGATTTACCCATAATAAGAAGATAAGGATCCATAACTTAGAAATATGTTTTTGAATTCCCCCAAAAAACAACAACAACAACAACAACAAGTAAACTAAAGTGTACATTATGCCAGAGGAAAAAAAATGAGGATTCCTGCCCATTCTGTTATGGTAGATAACTCCTGTAGATAGTGCTTGCAAGGACCACTAAGAAGAAAGACAACACAGAACCATGGATAACATTTTTTTCATTCAAGCTAAACCAGTGGATTCAGAAACAAGTTTCAGGAAAAAGGCAACCAAGAATAACTCATAAGATTTTTACATAAGCTGGGTGTTATGTCTGTAAATATATTTACCATGCATAGCTTATTTCACATTGGTCTTAAAATGAATGGTGATCAAACAGTATTTTCAGAAACTCTTTTGCCCACCATGACCTTCACGACATACAGAGTCTGACATGTCCCCATATATCATTATTGTCTTTTATTGATTCCCACAGGGTTGATGTTACAGTTGGCACAAAGACATCAATAAACAGAAAGCACTTAGACAATGCATGATAAACAGACAAGGTGGTTGCCTGTGGCTGGAACTTGCTAATCCTCATTAACGTCACATGGCAGGGGGTTGGATGGAACTTCTGGTCCTCCTGAATGAAACCACCCATTCCGATATTGTGAAGATTTCCACAGGTTCAGGAGGACGGGTGCATAGCAGGGTATTTTGTCACTCTAGCATCAGTACCGCTCTTCAGGGTATTTCATCACTCCTAGGTGGAGCTAGTACCAATACCAATTTAGGTGAAGTAAAGGTCAGAGTAGTGTGTAGGGCAAAGGAATTATGTTCTGGAACCAATGCCATCAGCTAGCAAACTGCTTTCCTCCAACAACACAGGAGCACAGCTCACAACACATGGCATAGACAACATGAACTGCATTTGCTGTTTTTCATTATTTTGGTGCTCTGCAGGCAAAAGATGACATCACAATAGAAAATTGGGGAAGTGTCTTATGCAACTCCACATCTAAGGATGAGATCTAGGAATCTGAAATCTTGATGGTGCCCACCCTGGTGGATCCTGTCACATGACGGATCTTTGCCCACGGAGAGAGCCAAACCCCCCTGTGTAGTCCCTGAGAGGGAGGTGCAGCCATCACATCAAGAGGGGAGACACTTAGGATTAGAATACAGGTCACAGAGTCTGGAGACTACAGTCTTTTCCTAAGTTCTTGTCATTGCAGACAGAGCATTAAGTAGTAATCTGCTGTGATGTGACCTCGCAATGAAGCATTTGCAAGCGAATAATGACATATTTCATGAAGGAAAAAAAGCTTAATTACTCTATAATATCAAAGACAAAGGCATCAATGCAGATAACACACCAAACATCAACCATGATATTGAGAAAAGCATGACAAAAATTACCTTCAGCACAAAAACATGTTAGCTAGTGGCAGCGATTTTTACTCCGATGCACTGAAGACCGTGAATACCCTAATCTGATGAGAAAAAACCCATACCAATTGAAAACAGAAACAAATGAACATCACTCACAAAAAAATCTGTTGAAACCATGCTAAGAATTCTATGCATGTTCTCATTTGGTGGAGACACAGAGAATATTATCATATGGTGCTCGTCATCTGAAGTCAGATGTCAGAGAGGTCATTATTGCTAAAAGAGCGACTAAAGACGCAGAGAGATTGTTATTCATTTCTAGTCAGATCTTCAGTAGTAAGAGAAATGTGTGATATGTAATACATGATAAGTAAAACATTATATCATGTGAAGCCCTGCATGATGGGTATCAATGAACGCTGAATCAACTCGCTGTAATGTGGCTTATAACATATATATATATATTTCATTTATCCAGCATGATTTTGCTCTACACATATAAAAAAAAAGCACAAAGAAAAAAACAACAAATATAATAATATTATTCCACTTTCATGTTCTACAACTATATGTTTTTCATAATGAAACAACTTAATATATATTATTTTTTCTCAAGACCTGATGTTGGAAAGCAGTGAGTTTTGCCGTTACAACTACATCTAAGAAATATTCCAGAATTAGGACTTTACTAAGCATGTATAATCTGAAATAGACATATGCTGCATTTGAGTTGTGTAGTCAAGAGACCAATTCTTGTACACATTATGCACCATACCCTGGCGCCATACCTTGAATCAGTGTCCAAAACAAAGAATCCTTTTTGGAATTAGGGACATGAACCTACCCCTTGGTAGTCTGGATGGGTAGCAATTCTCACAATTCTTGCACCGGACAGTCCAGGAAAATCATGATCTTGGAACTAAGGATTAAAAAAAATGACAAAGAAAACATTTCAGCAAAAGCATTTTCAGTATGTTATAATGTTAGAATACTTCCAGAAGTTCCAGTCTGACTCACTGAGTCATCTAGCCTGTTTTCTGTCAGAATATGATATATACACATGGAAAAAAGTATTACAACTCTCCATATTTTTCATAGCATCAATATGTCACCATAAACCACAGGAAGAGAGCTTATTCAAACCTTAATTTAACTTACTATCTGGATAAATTTATATTCAACAAATAATTTAATACTAAACTTATAACTGTAGTTTATTGAGAGAAGCAAACATGGCAAAAAATTGATTCATCTTGTACTGATAATAACTGTGGTCATATGACATTAACAAGTGCAGGTATTTTCAAGATCCTCAAGAAATGACGTAGGCAGGCCAAGGTGGAGTGGCCCCACGCTGCTTGAAGTAGGAAATCACCAATGTCATGTGGAACAAGTGGCCAAGCACTGCTGTCCATGAAGACTGGCCTTTTGCTGACAGTGATGAACTGTTGTCCATTCAGATTTTGTCATATCGTCACAAGGTCAAGTTTACACTCATGTGAGATGCACGCCCACAATACCAATGAACTCCATGAAATGGTACTTGCTCAAAGATATTCCACTGTGCATATGCAGTATTTCTGCAGTGCCAAACATGAGCTGGCCATCAGTCAGGAACAAAAGGAATTGTCTTTTGTCCGATCAGTTGACCTTTCCCCATGACCACAAATTCAGTGACATTGGGCTTAGTGCTCTGGGTATAACAATGGATATCTGCAAGGTTGTCTGGCTCTATACCTGGCCGATCTTAGGCAATTTCAGACCATTCTATTGGCCTAACGATGTTGTGGAAACCACTTAACTTGAACAAATGAAGTCTTGTGATTCAGAGAAGGGCTGTATACTCATTCTATTATATGTTGACTTTTGTTGTCACTTCTGATCAACCTGAAACCTGATGTTTATCATGTCATAAGCTTGCTATGTTTCTGGCTGATTGGCTGATAGCCTATAGATGACAATCCCCAAACCCCTGCAATAGCCCGCAATTCTGCATTCCAAAAACTTTCCAACTCTGAGCAGTTGTCAGTTACGGACACTTGCTGAACGGGGTCAGGCTATAGGTCTTTTGGAATCTTGCAGGTTGCTGTCCGCTTTAATGTGAGTCAGAGTGATATTGGTAGACTGTGGCAGAGATATCAAGCCAATGGGTCTGTGGAATATGCACGTCGACCAGGTCGCTCCAGATTCACGACAGTCCAAGGTGATAGGCACATTATTAACACTACATTAAAGGTCACATGCAACGTAAAACACAACTTTGCAGACTCTGATACCTTTTGGTATGGACTTACAGTGACAAATTAACAAAAATGCAAACTCAACTTATAAAGTTGAAAAATAACGCGATGGACCAGCCAATGAAAGCCTTCCTTACACTTAAGTGCACGCCCACCAGCTCTGACTGGGTTCGGTATCCCGGGTGCTTCGTTTCGAGGGTAGTCAACCCAAGTACAAAATATTGCACTTTTGATTTGCGATTGTACGCTTATAATTTTGTTTATTTTTTTTTTCATAATCAGCAATGTATATTATATGTCATGAATAAGTGTTTTATTTATGTTTGGTTATTTTGGTTGCATGTGACCTTTAAATAACAGATTCCTTAACGCAGCAGATATTCAGACAGTACACTTCAATGTTAACAAAAGTCTCAGAGGATGACATATCCATCCGGCCCCCACATCTTTGAAAGAACAAATCATCTGACAGTTACTTAAAGTCCAGCTTGATTTTACACTAAGTGCAAATCGTTTCCATGGAAATGATGAAAAACATAAATGACAAAAATCTGCAAATAGCAAAAGGCACCACTTCAAGATCTGCCTCACATAGCTGCCAAGTTTTACTAAAAAGATATTAAGAAGTTTTTGAAACGAAACCCACCCCTCCCTTTTGAGACTAAGGCTAAATATCGTTTCCATGGAAACCGAGAAAAATAAAAAAGACAAAAATCTGTAAATAGCAAAAGGCACCACTTTGGGATCTGCCTCACATATCTGCGAAGTTTTGCTGAAAGATATTAAGAAGTTTTCCAGTTGTGCTCCGGAAATGAAACCTACCCCTCCCTTTTGAGACTAAGTCCGAATCATTTCCCTGGAAACTGGGAAAAATTAAAATGCCCAAAATCTGCAAATAGCAAAAGGCACCACTTAAGGTTCTGTTTGATATATCTACCAAGTTTTGTTGAAAAATATTGAACGGTTTTTTGAGTTATGCCCGGAAACGAAGCCCACCCCTCTTTAAGACTAGGTCCAAAACGTTTCCATGGAAAACGAGAAAAATAAAAATGACAATAATCTGTAAATAGCAAAAGGCACCACCTTAGGTTATGTTTGACATATGTACCAATTATTGTTGAAAAATATTGAACTGTCTTTGAGTTATGCTCCGGAAACAAAATGATTACGGACTGACAGACGGACGAGGCGACGACTATATCCCCCCCCCACTTTACATGCCGTGGGGTGGGGATAACAATGTTAGGATATCCAGGAGCACTTAACCTTAGTCGACGTCTAAGGGCAGCCGGACTCCACTGTAGGTGACCTGCAGTTTGTCCACCACTAAAACCACGTCACAGACAGGCACGTTTGAGATGGAGTAGACATCATGGCTGCTGGAATCAATGTCAATGATCTTGTGCGCTCTTCACAGATGAAAGTAGATCCAATTTGTCCTTCCATGATGGTCGGCAGAGGAATTATCATCGCAATGGAGAGCGAATCACAGATGCAACTGTGACCATGCATAACCAATTTGGCGAAGGGTCAGTCATTGTTTGGGCAGGGATAACCCCTACTGGACGTACTCCACTGCACGAGTTTGACAGTAATCTTACCGGACAGAGTTATTGGGACAACATTCTGGCTCCTATACCAGTACCATTCCTACAAGATATGCATGGCTTCAATTGTCAACCCTCTTTACTGCAAGAGAACAATGCTTGGCCTCATAGGGCCAGGATTGTCATAGAATACCTTAGGCAGCAGGATGTAGAGCGAATGGAGTGGCCAGAATGCTCGCCAGGCCTCAACCCAATTGAGCATTCCTGGGATGAACTCGGTCAACGTGTGTACACATGGGACCCAGCACCAGTGGGTCTCCCAGGACTCAGCAAAGCTTTAGTAGAAGAATGGAATGCGATTCCACCAGCTTTCTTTATTAACTTGATAAGGAGCATGAGAACAAGGTGCACCTGTGTCTTGGATCCGGGAGGAGGGCACACAAGATATTGAATGTCCGAGTGCTCCATGTTTGTCATTTTCATTTTTGGGGGTTTGGTCTATACAACTGATGTTGGCTAGTACTGTTTGAACTTTTTGTCTGTATGCCATGATGGGTCACGTTTGTCAACATATTAAACATTATGATGACACTCTCAGTTATATTATTTCTGAGAAACTTTTCTTTTCATGTGCTATATATCATTTGACCCTTTATTAACGATGCCAAGTATAAATGGCCAAATGAGAGTGAAAAAATCATAGGTGTTCTGATAATTTTTTCCATGTGTATATAACAGGCCTTGATATCATCTATTGTTTTTGGACAGTTCTGAAAATCATAAAACAGGGTCCTTGACAAAATACGTCTGAAGAAGATCTGTAACAAAACACTACAAACTAATTAAACCTGCTTCCTCTCATCAAAGCATGCATGCTAAATAGGTTTTCCAAAATGTTTCATATACTCGCCATCAAAAGTTTTGACTCTCTAGTGTAAATATAGTCACTTACTTCAGCCAACTGTTCTAAACTAGACTTTGCAAAATATTCCATACTGTTCAAAGGTATTGTTTACACATGATCTGATGTATTGTAAAACAAATTCGTAACTTTGAAAAGATTATTGTCATGGGTTCAATAAATGATGAAACTCAGTGAAAATTTAGCTAAACCTGTAGAGGTTTCCAATTCTTTGAGTGAGTGAGTGAGTTTAGTTTTACGCCGGACTCAGCAATATTCCAGCTATATGGCGGTCTTTGAAGAGAATCGTCCTTATGGGTACATATATGCATTTTCTGCGGCTGAAAATGTCATGTGACAGTTGTATCAATGTTTTAATAAAAATATTGTACAATAAATAAAAGTCTTTTTTATCTATTATACGGCCCCACCACGTGGAGTTACCTCCTTTCTACGCATGCGCAGCCAACCAGGTAAGCAACTAGGCCCGTATCATCATTCCTTCTGCTGAATATATCAGTGAACAGAATTGCGGGGAGGTGGGTGGCCCTACCTCAAGGACGATTCTCTTCAAAGAATTGGAAACCTCAACAGGTTTAGCTAATTCTTTTTTATAGAGATCGTCCTTGGGGTACATATATGCATTAACTCAGACTCCCAAAGACCGGAGGCTAGGGAGGAGGGAATTCTGTCAAAGTACACATAAATAGCGATCGTTAGGAAGAATGTAACGCCACAACACTCACCTGTCACGTGTCCCGAAGCTTCCGTGAGAGGCATGATGGGAGGGTAAACGACAGGGAGGAAAGTACTGAGATCCGACCTTCACAGGTTAAGCAAAGCAATACGCACACAGTGCGAAAGTAAAAAACCCCGCCCACATTGTGAATCACTTAAAGGGCCGTAAGGGGAAAAACCAACTCACAACCGACTATAATCTCATGAGAGAAATCGAAAGTAGTTACATATGATAGCAGCGGATATATCAATTATACACAATTGAAAGCAGCATCAACTGTCCAGATAACCAAGACTCACTCAGTCAGGGTAGCAGGACACTGTCCACTGGAGAGAACAGACGACCAAAACGCGCACGATCACGAGAATGTGTATCGAGCTGATAGTGCCTGATAAAAGTGCTAGGTCTGCTCAAAATACCGACAGAGCATATCTCTTCAATGGGCAGTGCCGATGCAAAAGCCTTTGAAGTGACCACTGCCCTGACTGAGTGAGCCTTCAACCTCTCAGGGGGAGGCTTGCCCTTAGCCTGATAAGCAGCACAAATGACTGATACAATCCAGTGTGATAAGGTCTGTTTGCTAGCCGGCATGCCAGCCTTCCCGCCACCGTAACAGCAGAACAGATGAGTACCCATACGGATCCCTTGATATAGACCTTGAGGGTCATACAGACATCCAACGGGTGAGTGCTTGTTGCAGAGGTCCTCGATGTGGAAGGCTGGGTAAGAGTAGGAAGTTCGATAGGAGTCGTCACATGGAAAGCGTGATCGATCTTCGGACGGTAAGTATCTGGGAGGCGAATACTGACACGATCTGGATGGAACACAGTCAGCGCCGGGTCTGCCGAAATAGCATGTAAGTCGCCAACCCTTCGCCCAGATGTTACCACCACCAGAAATACGGCCTTCCATGTTAACAGCTGAATGGAAATAGCCGATAGATGTGAGAACGTAGGACCGGACAGCCAATCTACCACGATTGACAAATCCCAAGGTGGGCTGTTTCGCCTGACAGCAGGTCGAACCCCATCCACACCAGCTAAAAAGCGCTGCATAAGAGGGGGCTGCCCCAGAAGAGCACCATCGACAGGGGTGTCGAAAGTGGAAATAGCGGTGGAGTAGCCCAGCCTTCTTCCAAACGAGCTTGCAAAAACTCCAATACTCAGACTAAATCCGCAGAAAAGGGATCTGCAATCCCCTTATCTGAACACCAACACGCATAGCGGGACCACCTATCCTCATATTGAACGTTTGTCGAATCCCGCCTGAAGCCAGAATTGTGTCTGCAACTGCTGCAGGAATTCCGCATGCTTCGAAGCTAGACCTGACAGAGGCCAAGCCACCCACTGAATCCTTGGATTTGGGTATGGCGCGCCGTTCTGAGTGAGAATGTCCGGTCGCAAAGGTATAGAACAGGAGGCTGAGCCAGAAACCTGAGAATTACCGGAAACCAGCTCTGTAATGGCCATAGCGGTGCCAGTAGCACAAGTAGCCGAGCTGGCTCAGTGGACAGCTGGGAGAGGACCCAGAGAATGAGTGGTAGAGGCGGAAATGCCAACAGCACCTTGCCCGTCCAATCCAGCAGGAAGGCGTCGGAAGCCAACGCCCTGTGGTCCGGTATTAGAGAGCAGAACACGGGTAAATGATTTGTCCCGTTGGACGCAATCAGATCCACCTGGAACGATCCGTACAACTGGGAGATAACTCTGAATATCTGCCGGTTGAGCATCCACTCGTGCGGGGCCAGGATCTGGCGAGAGAGAGAGCGTCTGCTCGCATGTTCTCCAGCCCCGGGAGATAATAGGAAGCACCTGACAGTCGCACTGGTCGCACCAGAGGAAAAATTCCCACGTTTCCCGAAGGAGCGCTAGGGACACTGTGCCGCCTTGCTTCAGGATGTAGGTCATAGCCATACGGTTGTCCAACTGAAGACGAATCACCTGGCCGCACAGCTCTCAGTTCTAAGACGTTGATGACGGCTTCGGACCAGAGTCCGGACACCGACAGACTGCCCAGAACACCCACCCCCAGCCCGTGAGGGATGCATCGGTTTGAACTGTAAGAGCTGGCGTCGGGATTTCAGAGATTCCCGACACTGGTCCACCACTGAAGGTGAGGAGACAACCACCCGGGGACTGTGAAAGACTTCTCCAGATCCTCCGAGTGAGCCCACAGCTCGCCAAAGCTTGCTGTATAGGGCGCATCTTCAACCGCACCCGCCACACGACAGAGATAGTTGCCGCCATATGACCCAGTAGAAGGAGCCAAGTCCGCCGCTGGTGCCTGGGGCAGGGAGAGGAACGAAAACACCATCTCTCGTACTCTTGTGACCCGGTCGAGCGACAAAGAGACAAGACCCTTGTGAGTTGTGAACCGCACCCTAAAAAACCAAGTCCTGGGTGGGTACCAGGTCGGATTTCTTGAGGTTTATGATCCACCCCAGTCGAACTAGAATGTCTATCACCGTGTGGGTAGAATCTAGGCTCGCTGGCTGAGTTAGAGCGCTGAGCAATCAGTCGTCTAGGTAAGGGTAACAAAGCCTTCCCTGCGACCTTGCGAGGGTAGCCGGCACTAACATTAGCTTGGTGGACATCCTGGGGGCAGTGGATATGCCGAAGGGGAGCACCGTGAATTGGTAACACACCCCGTCGTAAGAGAACTGGATGTACTGCTTGAACAATGGATGAATTGGCACACGTAGATATGCATCCTTTAGGTCGATCGACTTAAGCCAATCGCCGGGTTGAACAGAGGAGATCACCAAGCAAAGTGTCTCCATCTTGAAGGATGGAACTTCTAACATGTGATTCAACCCCTTGAGGTTGAGAATGGGAGGGAACCCGCCATCCTTCTTCGAGGCAGGAAGCACGTGGAACAAAACCCCGCCTGTTCCTCGCCCAGTGGTATACGCTGTATTGCAGTCTTGTCCAGCAAAGCCTGAACTTCGTCTCGCAGTACACCCGCCTTGACCGGACATGACGGCACCAGAGCCAGACGATGAAGCCTGCTCCTTGCCCTTACCTTTGGCGGGACGGCTCCTCCTCCTACCTCTACCCAGCGGCCGAAGCCAGCCGGCAGACTCGGGCGTAGGCTGCGCCCCGGAGGAAGAACCTGCTACGCGACATGTAGACAGCCACAGCTTGCGCATCCCCATGACTGCGCACATCACCATAGGAGCGGCAGACCGTAAAGAGTCTCGCGTCAGGTGGGCCTGTACTTCGGATAATTGGCAGAGCAGAACAACATTCGAGGAAAGGTCCCCAGTGCTCCCTTCCACCTCCAGAGCCGACCTTTGGATCGAGGAAAGGTACGCCTAGTGGACCACAACCCGCACCTGCTGCATGGCATTCCGGTAGACTTCCTCATAAGTCTGATATGCCTGCCGCAGGGAGGCACCCGCTGGGGCAAACGGTGGTACTAACCGTCCTTGCTTGGCAGCCAGGAAGCCGAGCTTCCCCCGAAGGCAACCGAAGTAAACACGCACTCGTCAACCACTGGCACAAAGAACAGAGAATCATCCCCCAGCTGATATCTCTTAACAAGTTCGGGTAGATCGAACCGTAGGCGAGAACCAACCAGGAGGGGATCAATCACGTCCTGCACCAGGGAAGGCAAGATACGGAGCTGTGTCTGAGAGGGTTGCCTAGGGGCAAATGCCTCACCCGGCAGGCAGAACTCAGTCGAGTCCGAGCGACATGTCGGCACCGCGGGTTGGGGAATATACTGGGCAATACGTTGCCTAACCTCCCGGAGAGCCGACGAAAACAGAAAGTACCCTCTGACTCCTCGACCTCCCAAACCTCCATAGACTCGGCACCCGAGCCAGAGTCAGAATTCGGATCTCCACGTGAAGAGGAGTCGAACCCCAACCCGGTGGGAGGCCGAGCCACAGACACCGCGGGAAGGGAAGAGCCAAATGAACTCTCAGCTCCGGGCCACCGACACAACACACTAATCCCGGTTCCGAGACACGGGAGGAAGACCGGACAGAACCGGCTCCTCCGCTCTCATTGGGCAGGGCTGCACTGGGACCGGAACACCCCAGGAATCCTCAACGGACCCTGCGCCAACTTTACAGAGAGGGGGACTGGAAGCGAACCCTCCCCCTCCGGGGCATCCGAGGCAAAGGATCGACAGATGCCTCAAAGCGAAGGGATCGAGCCGAGCTCGGTGATCCCACACCCGGACTCTCGGACCCCCCGATCAGAGTGGGTGAGCAAATCCTGCTGGACACCTCCAACCGACTCGTGAATGAGGGACTTCACTGAGTCCATATGTTGCTGAAACAATTGAGTGATAAGTGACATATCAAAACCACTGGACGGAGATGGAGAGTGTGACCTATGTGAAGACTTAGATTTAGTTTGCTTAGCCTTTTTGGCCTTGGACAGGGGAACCTCCTGGGTCAGGTCCCTTCCCGCCTCACGCAATTCCTCATAAAAAAAGAAAGTCAGCCGCCCGTCTCTTCTGGGCCCGGGGGGAGCAGCCCATGCACAACTCACAGATGTCAGGGTTATGCCCTGCCTTCACCAGGCAGCATAAGCATTTGTCACGTTTACCAGAACGGGGAATATTTTGCCCACAGGCAGCACATCCCGTAAACGCCTGAAAGCAAACATGCAAGCATGTAGCTAACGGCGTACATAACAGCATAATATACACATACAAACATTGAAAATTACGTGAATGTGACAACGCGACATAAAATACTTGGTTAATAACGCAATATTTCAACCACAGGGCACTCTAAAACTTCCCGCCATGGGATAGCAACACGTGCTTAAACCACAGGAAAGCTAGCGTAAAAGTTTAATACAAAGTCACATAAATGAGAAATAACAGACTGCAATGTCTCAGACATTCTTCTACAAGTAAATCAGCTAGTAACTCAGGTTGTAAATACGTGTGAACGCTAGAGTGACAGCAGAAGGAATGATACGGACCTAGGTGCTTACCTGGTTGGCTGCGCATGTGTAGAAGGGAGGTAACCCCACGTGGTGGGGGACGTATAATAGATAAAAAAGATTTATATTTATTGTACAATATCTTTATTAAAACATTGATACAACTGTCACGACATTTTCAGCCACAGAAAATGCATATATATATACATATGTACCCCAAGGATGATCTCTATGAAAAAGAATGGCGAAGTCTTAACAAAACTTTACATCAAAGCGCAGCTGTTCATATGCATGATATTTGCACATGCATTTCATCAATTTGATGCATGATCCTCATTAAATTCATCTGCATAATGTTTGCAGCTGGTTCCCCAAACTTAGTGGAGAAATTATTCTTCGATGTAACCATATATATATACATAAAATATAGTGAGTGCTTTCAGTCAGTCTAAACTTCTTCTTTTTTTCATCAGGGAAAATATCCTTTCCAGAGTTCCAGGCAACCTCGTACCTCTGCCATGGGACAGCAAGCCCACATTCAGCACAATATATGTTTTTTGCAGCTGTTTCATATTTGTAGAGTTTACACATTCAGATAAAGACATAAGGAAATCATTAATTGAAACATGAAAAAACAATTCCAATTGCAAAGTTATGTTTACATTGGATGTATGTCTGTCATGTGTCATCTGCTGTCATCAAGGCTAAAGGACATCTATGGAAAAACTACAGATATGATTACAATGATACATTACAATGTTATAGCTTGAATGTGGGGAATAGCAGTTTTCTTCTGAGTTCATCAATCTACCTAACAATATAAATGAAACATGATGAAGAATGTATGTAATGTTGTTTTGTGTCACTGATCTATCCTACCTGTTGTGAAACAGTCCATGGAATTAGGTCTCCTGCTGCTCTCCTTCCCCGGGATAAACTATTCATGATGGTGCTCTTGGAGATCTCTCCTTCAAGGCATACCTGTTTTCAGATAAATGTACATTGTTTTAACACTACACTTGATTGCCTTTTTCCTGAAGATTGTTTTTGAGTTTAATAAAAAAATAAAACTTTATTCCAAGGAAATGCGTTGTCTTTCTTCCTTGTGGTCCACCAAAATGCAATCCACAGCACCTCATAATTTTTCTGAGGTTACCTTGACAGGACTGACTGACTGACTGAGTATGGTTTTACGCCGCTTTTAGCAATATTCCAGCAATATCACGGTGGGGGACACCAGAAATGGGCTTAACACATTGTGCCCATGTGGGGAATCGAACCCGGGTCTTCGGCGTGACGAGCCAACGCGTTAACCACTAGGCTATCCCACCACCCCACCTTGACAGCAAGGGTCTATGGAGGCATGGTTTGAATGTCAAGTGTTAGAGATAGTATTAAAAGAATTAATGTCATTGTTGATAATGTACAAGATTCTTATGAATACATCCCCTCAAACACTTGACTGATGAATCCCATACAAGGCTTGGTGGGTCCAGTACAGCCAACAGAAGTTAGAAAGCCACCCATAAACAACAGACTAATTGTTAATTGTTACGACATAACAGAACAAGAGTCATCAGAAGATGGCCCCTGCTCCGGAAAAGACAAATGTGCACGGACAGCAGACGGACGCACGCACGCACGCACGGAGTCCATTTTAATACCCCCCGCAAAACGCGTTGCGAGGGAAAAAAATCTGTAAATAGCAAAAGGCACCATTTCAACATTTGCCTAATATATCTGCCAAGTTCTGTTGAAAGATACTGAACGCTTTTCGAGTTGTGCACCGGAAATGAAGCCCACTCCTCCCTTTTGGGACTAAGTCCGAATCATTTCCATGGAAACCGAGAAAATAATAAATCTAAAAAAACCTGCAAGCAAAAGGCACCACTTTGGGATATACCTCACATATCTGCCAAGTTTTGCTGAAAGATATTAAGAAGTTTTCCAGTTGTGCTCCATTAACGAAACCCACCTCTCCCTTTTGGGGCTAAGTCCGAATTGTTACATGAAAACCAAAAAAAATAAAAATGACAAAAATCTGCAAATAGCAAAAGGCACCACTTAAGGTTCTGTTTGATATATCTACCAAGTTTTGTTGAAAAATATTGAACGGTCTTTGAGTTATGCTCCAGAAACAAAGCCCACCCCACTTTAAGACTAAGTCCAAATCGTTTCCATGGAAACCGAGAAAAATAAAACTGACAAAAATCTGTAAATAGCAAAAGGCCCCACCTTAGGTTCTGTTTGATATTTCTACCAATTTTTGCTGAAAAATATTGAAAGGTTTTGGAGTAATGCTCTGGAAACAAAATGATTACGGACGGACGGACGGACAGACGAACGAGGAGACGACTATATCCCCCTGGCATGTAATGCGGGGGGATATAGTAGTCGCCTCGTTCTGTAAATCTGTAAATAGCAAAAAGCACCACTTTCGGATCTGCCTCACATATCTGCCAAGTTTTGCAGAAAGATATTGAGAAGTTTTCGAGTTGTGCTCCGGAAACGAAACCCACCCCTCCCTTTTGAGACTAATAGCAAAAGGCATCACTTTAACATCTGCCTCACATATCTGCCAAGTTTTTGCTGAAAGATATGAAGAAGTTTTCCAGTTGTGCCCCGGAAACGAAACCCAAATAGTTTCCATGGAAGCCAGAAAAATTAAAAATGCCAAAAATCTGCAAATAGCAAAAGGCACCACTTAAGGTTCTATTTGATATCTGTGCCAAGTTCTGTTGAAAAATAGTGAACGGTTCTTGAGAAATGCTCCAGAAACGAAGCCCACCCCTCCCTTTTGGGACTAAGTCCAAAGCGTTTCCATGGAAACCGGGGAAAATAAAGATGCCAAAAATCTGCAAATAGCAAAAGGCACCACTTAAGGATCTGTTTGATATATCTACCAAGTTTTGTTGAAAAATATGGAATGGTTTTGGAGTTATGCTCTCGAAACAAAATTATTACGGACGGACAGACAGACGAGGGAACGACTATATTCCCCCGCATTACACCCCGGGGGATAAAAATGACAAAAATCTGCAAATAGCAAAAGGCACCACTTCAAGATCTGTCTCATATATCTGCAAAGTTCTGTTGAAAGATATTGAACGGTTTTTGAATTGTGCTCCGGAAACGAAGCCAATCCCTCCGTTTTGAGACTAAGTCCAAAACGTTTCCATGGAAACCAAGAAAAACATAAATGTCAAAAATCTGCAAACAGCAAAAGGCACCACTTTAGGTTCTGTTTGATATAACTACCAATTTTTGCTGAAAAATATTGATAGGTTTTTGAGTTGTGCTCCAGAAACGAAGGCCATCTCTCCCTTTTGAGATTAAGTCTGAATCGTTTCCATGGAAACCGGGAAAAATAAAAATGCCAAAACTCTGCAAATAGCAAAAGGCACCTTTTTAGCTTATGTTTGATATATCTACCATATCTTGAACGTTTTTTGAGTTGTGCTCCAGAAACGAACGTCACCCCTCCTTTTGAAACTAAGTTCAAATTGTTTCCATGGAAACCAAGAAAAACAAAAATGCCTCTCTGTAAATAGCAAAAGGCACCATATTAGGATCTGTTTAATATATCTACCAAGTTTTGTTGAAAATTATTGAACGTTTTTTTAGTTATGCTCCAGAAACAAAATGATTACAGACGGATGGACGGACGGACGGACAGACAGACGAGGCGTCGACTATATCCCCCCGCATTATATGCCGGGGGGATAATAACACACAGGATTTCAGACATGCAGGTGCTTAGATCTCCTTGCCTGTGACCTACCTGAATAACACACAGGATTTCTGGCAGGGAGCTCTGGTTGTCTGTCACAGGTCCCAGCAGTACAAAGATATTAAATGCAGGAGCATCCGACAACATCTGCAGGTCATTGGGAGTGTTCTGAAAGAAGAAACTGTCATCAGTATCACCCTGGCTACTTAAAGCTAATCAAGAAGTTTATATATATTCTCTGTCTCTTAAAAATTCCTGAATTGATGTACATTATTTGTTTTATGCTTAGTTTTGGTGTTTTTAATTAACTGGACATTATGAGCAACTAAGTAACTAAGTCTAACCACTGATTCACGTAGATGCCTAAGAAACAAGCAGCATTTGCTGAGGATGTAATTTAACCCAGAATCACCACAATTATACATCAAGTATGGTATCGAATCAAAGTTTCATTGGAAGGTCATCTCTGGAAATGAGTTAAACACCCCAAATTGAGACAAACTATCCTCAATGACATCCCTGAAAAGCATTAAATGAATTTGAAAATTTTACTATAAATTGTATATTTATATACTTATCCTATCTCACGGTATGGACCTCTCTTCTTCTTCTTCTACGACCATGTGTGGAAAGGTGCTGTAGGCTAAGTTGAATCAAAAGTTATCTGGCCTCTGACCACTTTCCCTGTCAATACTTACAACCGTGAAGACGCATTACCCAAGGAGGCCAGGAGAAAGCACCAACTCCCGATATGCAAACTCCAAACTTGTGATGGGTTGCTTCAGATAACTCCTTGGCTGACACAGCATAAAAACTCTAGGGAGTGGGCGATCCCGAATTAAGGTGGTTTTCAGCCGACGCTTTCGACAAGCAAAAAGACGCAGTTTGGCAAGTAGGCCCCGCCGCCCCACGATTTATCAGGTGACCCCAGTGAATTAAAGTCGAGGACCTTAATCTGGCCAGTCCCTGCTTCGAAACTACCACCAACAGACACCTGCTGGAGGGCGGTGAAAGAGGGAATAGCCCGGTTGCTCAACTAGTTTCACGTTCAGTACCAATCCCCCTAACTTACCAAAGGTGAGAAAGAACTTAGGAGCGGAACTTAGGTTGGCCCTAGTAGGAAGAGGAAGGTCAACACAGGCGTAGGCATGAAGGATGGTAGATCACACCCCGAAGGTCAGTGTGGTACAAGAGACTTCAGTTGATGAGGCAGATGACAGAGAAATAAACAGTCTCTTGCGTAACCTACGACGGTCCATGGAGGCAGTTAAAAGACCCGTGAAGTCCGGACAGGACATAGGGACAGATTCTCAGTGTCGTCAGGGCCCAAAATAGAAGACAGCAGCGGGAAGGCTAATAGTCTGTCCGGCTGTCCAGGCAACTGGTTTCAGCGAAGAGATCCCACTTCAACCAGGGAGGGCTTTGACATGTCTGGTCCTCTCGAAAACGCAACCGGGTGACATCCAGTGCGTGAAGCTCGGAGATGCAGGCAGCAGTTGCAAGAGCCAGGAGGAAGAAAGATTAAAACGTGACATGCTTGAAAGCCTTCTCTGGCAGAGGTTCATACTCCTCTGACATGAGATGATTAAAAACCAAGGAAAGGTCCCAGGCTGGTGGCCAGAACTTCCGGGATTGATCAGCAACTTGTAAGATCTAAGGAGATACTGGAGCTCAGCGACAGTCAACACCTTCGCACCTGTAGCCAGCGCAATAACTCTGTTACGCATGGCCAGGTATGTAGACAAGGTGGAACCCGTCAATTCCTTGGAAGTTCAAGGGTGCTGGAGTTACTCCGCGACTATCTGCAGCAATGCTGTAGTGGGAGATATAATACCCATCGTCTAGCAGTACGCTTCAAATACTTCCATAGTCATCACAGAGTGGCCTGGTAGAAGTTCAATGTGCTGTGGTAATGGCTGCAGAGACTCGCTTGGAATATCCCTTTGCAGTTAGCGATTCAAGTAAAGGCACCAGGCGTGACAATTAATTGTGAGCGCAGAGCATGCAGCTGATCGAAATGAAGATGAAGCCTAATATGGGCATGACGGGGAAGGGGTACTGGAATGGGTCGGCCAAGTCTTGCAGGTTAGGAACAAACTAACGTGCCAAAACGGTGCGACCCAAAATCAGTGTCAACTGCTGTGTCATGCGTAACTTGAGCAGTATGCGTGGAAGTAGTGCCACTGGTGGAAACGCATATGCGTTCAAGTCATCCCAGGGGGATTGCTCGAACGTTGTGTTCCAAGGCCAAAGGATCCGGGATCGGGGACACGAATATCATAAGCAGGTGATGGAAGCGGGTAGCAAACAGATCCACTGTCGGGTCAGACATTGGAAGGCACAAAGTCTGGAACACCTGCGGATGCAGTTTCCCCCCCCCCCATCGGGTATGGTCGAACTGGACGGGACAAAGAATCTGCAATGATGTACTTCAACCCTGGGATGTGATTGGCCAGGACCGTGATGTTGAAAGAGTCCACTAAGTGGAAAAAACTGTTGTGTCCACTAAAGAAGCTGAGGAGACCCCGTGGATCCAATTCGAGTGATGTGCCACACGATCGCAGCATAGTCCAATCGAAACAAAAGCTTGGTTGATTGTAACAGGTGATGCCAATGAGCGATCACAAGAATGACTGCCCTGAGCTCCAAACATTGATGTGACATGCACGGTCTGCAGGAGACCACAACCCTGCCACTTGCTGATCAAGACAGTGAGCTCCCAACCTAGGAAAGTGACTTCGTACAGGCGATGTATTGTGCAGCCTTAAAGAGACTCCACTATGAACCCAGATGGAGATGGAGATGGAGGGCTGGAGGAAGAGAGATCAATGCGTGAGGGACGCCAATCCTAATGTTCTGACCCAGAAAAAAGTGGAAAGGCCGTAGTTGAAGCTATCCCCTGAGAGTCAAAGCTTGAGCTGATGTCAACAGACCCAGAAGTTCTTGCCACTAACAAAAAGTCCTGAGTTGCGAGAGTGCTAGGGGTACCAAGAAAAAACTCCAGCGCAGACCTTCCTTTCGTCGGGCCACCCTGAAGCACTGGACGAAGTGGTTCAGGAAGGCGAAACAATTCCTGTGGGTTCAGTTAATCAACCTCGAGATACGAGTGTAGAATCGCAGTATCTGTTGAAGTTGGAAATGGCAGAGGGAAAAAAGACCAGTGACCCCAGGAACGTTCGTAAAGGAGACGAAGGTAGTAACACTGATGCCTACGAACAGTCCGGACATAGCTACAGTGACCACTGAACTGAAGCCTTAAGCTAAGAACCGAGTAAACCCAGCCAAAGTGAAAGCGTCATGGCGATTCTGTCTGGCACCCTCGGTAAACTGTTTCTCCCGTCTGACTGACGAAACTCGACATAAACACTCTTTACCAGGAATGGCACTGTCCATCATCACTGGCAATTAAAGGCTGGGATAGTTACCTGCTTCTCAGGACCAAGACAAGTCTGTCAGGGCACTCCATAGTCACTCTAATTATCAAAAAATCTCAGGTGAACAAACAGTAGTCCACCATTGCAAACGCTTCCCACATGCAAATAGTGGCAAAAAAACTGACACCACAGTCTTCGGTTAACCAGGCGAGTCCCAACCCATAACATCCGTGTTTAGGGACGCTGGCTACTTGACCAAACATTGATACCACACGCAGAAGATGTGGATACTAGGCCAACTTGATATTCAGGAATATTGTACGACAATTCACTGAGTCTGGTTACTACAGACTACTCGAAGCAGCGTTATGATGTATCGCTGGGTGTAATCGTGGCCTGTTTCGTCATCCTCATCATCATTCCTTTAACATCAACCAGTTTCTGGACAGATATGTCAAACCAGGTGGTTGGAGTGCTGACATCTACGACGAAGGGTAGACTCGTTGAATCGAATCATTCATCGAAGGTGAAGATCGGAAGGTAGATGATGGAGGAATCTTAAAGATCCGGGATCGTCAATCGCCGTCGTAAAGTAGAGGCCTGCGCTACTGACATAACTACTACCTCTATACAACCAGCAGAAACAATGCACTGGATGGAAGCGTTGATACTTAGAGAGCAGCGCACTGGAGTAAAACGGCACACTGGATACGATCAGCGCACTAGTAGATAACAAGGAAGTGAATGAAAGCTGCGCATTGGAGCAAAGTGTCGCACTGGACTGAAAACAGTGCATTGACCTAGTGTGTAGAGACGAGCCAATCAAAAACCCAAGGTACTCTCTGAAGCGCCAAACAGAATGAAAGCACCGCATTGGAGGGAACGCACTGTCCGTACATAGACACCGCAGAATCAGGAAGCTAACCCCAAAGTCAGGCTCAACCCCGGTAAAACTTGTAGAAATGAGGCATCAACGCCGGAGTTGGAAGAAGTGTTGAAAGTAAACTCGCAGGAGAAAAAACCACTGTAGGTAGCGTAGTGTGCGAACTAGCAAAGTCATAATGACAGTAGGCGCATAGAGGTAACCAGATGATTCGGCGAATGCTGACAGTTCAGCGAAAACATTCGGATCGGTGAATACTGTAGGAGCGGCGAACTGGTATGGTTCGGCGATCAGGACTGGTTCTGCGATCTTGGTTGGTTCGACGATCTGGAGCGGATAGATGATCCGGTTAGGCAGTGTGATCTAAAGCACTGAGTCAATTGAGACCGATGGCCTCGTCTAAAACGTTGTACCATACAATAAAATGGTGTACTGGACTGAAAAGGTGTGCCGATCAAACAACAATTCACTAGGTTGAATCGTTATATCAATCGAAAACGGCACTGGTCGGAAGTGTTGATCTAATCGAATAGGTACACTGGGCTGAAGTGTTGATCCAATCGAATGATGTGCATCGGTCTAAAGAGTTGGACCGAATGAGAGCGGTGAACTGAAGTGAAATGATGCACTGGTCTCGTCTAGTGAGAGCGACGCATTGGTATGAACAAAGTGATGAATGGACAACAAGTGCCGCTCTAGTAGTAAGCGGCGCACTGGAACTAGACGGTGGATCATAGGCAGGCGGTGCAAGGTACAGGAAAAGTGTTGATCCACTCTCGGAGGAGATAAAACTTGTCTGGAGACGGGACTAGAAGTTTGATGACGAAAGAGACGACGGAGATACTCGCTCAAGTAGGAGTCTGACTCTGAGGCCACCTCTAAAAAATCTACGTCCAGGGACGGTGATTTAG